AAGAGTAAAGTGAGCTACTGTTTGAGTGTGAATGTGGGGTGCAAGCCACAAAAACAACTGTATGATAAATATTTTATACAGTATTTAAACATGTAGTTGGTTTCAATAGACCTGCCCGTTGTTGCCAGAATGGTCAGGCTAAGTGATTAACCTTTATTGTTCACACAATTTTGCATTCTGTAGTGTAATCAATTTTATTAAGAGCTTTTGGGGGGGCGGGCTCTTTTCCTCCTAAATGCATGCTAACTACTGAACACATACCACTGTATTGTCATAGCATGAGAGGTCCTTTACATCAAATGGGACCTTTAAAGTAAATATTCTCTACATACCTGTACCTTGTTCATAATTTGAATAAAGTATAATTGCCTTTCTGTGATGTTGTGGATTGAGTTATTGATGCAGTTGCGGAGGTAGACCACTAGTCTGTGCTGTGCACCAGAACATACTGTGATTCTTGAGAGGCTTAATATCACATTGTGCTCTTTGTATGTGTGTAATGCACAGCGGGAGCAACATTTCTGCATCTACCATATCCTTACAAACACTTAAACACTGTCGTGCTTTAATTCAGCAATTCATGTATACACATTTCATGTGCTCAGCACGCTCGTGGACGGTTATTTTTCAAAAATGGGGTTTAGTTAATAGAAAATCTGCATGTGAATCCTGAAAGTAATTTGTCCTGCTTTATTTGTCAAAAAAAGACTGAAAATGTGTGCAGATAAAACAACACAAATCTGACCTTGTAAAGAACATGTCAACAAAAAATGCTAAATGATCAAATGGCACTTCTTCAGGAATTCTATGCAGGATTTATGGTTTAAAAGTGTCCAAGACAGTTTACAAAACATTTTAATTGACTGTAATGCTAGATGACAGACGAAGAAGTCACTTTGATGATTGATTTTCTCTGTACACCACCACCAAAGCATATTTCAGATCAAAAAATCAAGATGTGAACGTTAATTTGAGGCATTAAATTAAAGATTAGATTAAATCATGTTTAGTTTTTTATACGCAGTCCTTCATTTCAGAGCTTCGAAAGTAATGGAACAATTGACTGACAAGCAGTTCCATGGCCTAGCGAAGCCAGCCGCCTTGATATTTCATGAGAAATTAAGAGGCTAAAAGACCTGCAGTTGATTCCAAGTATTGAACTTCCCTTTCTGTCTATGGTAACTCCAATTAGAGTCAGTGCACGTGAAGGGATTGTTTTCCACTAGTGTTTATTGATGATGTGAATGTTGATAGAAGTAACAGGATGAACTGTGAAGTGTACAGAGCTATACTCTCTGCTCAGATTCAGTCACTTGTTGCAAAACTGATCTGACAGTGGAATGGATAATGACCCAAAGCAAACTGCAAAAGAGTGTCTAAAGGCAAAGGAAATGGAACATTTTTCAACAGACAAATCAGTCACCTGATTGAGCCCACAAACAAGCAGCAACCAAGTATACCTTAACCAACTATAACCAAGTAACCAACTATACTTATATTTAAAATGATGTTTGTTAGCCTCTAAAAATTGGGAGTCTTTGTATAGAAATGGATGCAATTCCTCAACAGTGAATGCTTTTGTTCAGTCTGATTTACAATCCTCTAGTTGTTCACAGTGGTAAAATTAGCTGCTGGACTTAACCATGCTTGGAGACCAGCGTCCATTTAGAAAATGTCCAGTGTGAAAATATGATATCTTTTACAGATTTACAAATGCATCATTCATATGATTAATGAATAACTCTGATTTCAGAATTCAGATATGCCCAAACCTGCAGTTCTTGTGAGACTTTTTTAGTTATGTTTCCATTCCAGATCATAAACCTGACATTGACTTAGTTGTTGTTACTGACCCTTGTTTCACTATTGTGTAAACTCACCTTCAGAATCTAAACTCCAGTGGAGACTTTAAAACATTTAGGGAAATAAAGTGTCACACTGACCTCTTGTGTGAATTTAATCACATTGCAGTGCACCTGCCCACGTGAAAAGACAAACTTTATTTTGGAAAGTTGTTTGTCATGACTGACGTGGTGGTGAAAATTCATTCATGAGGGAGGTTTCTATTAAACGCTCATCTCTGATTTTGTTGATGTTTATACTCAGATCAATGTTAGCTAAAAGTCTCAATTTAACATTAAAAATACAAAATATTAAACTAGAACAACAGAAGAATCAATTGTTTCTGCTTATACTATGATTAGAAAACATTTTACTGTTGATATCAAAAGAAGAAAGAAATGTGAAACTTCGACCATTCTACAAGCAGTTGTGAACTTCAAAACATAAATACATAAGTATCCAAAGGATTTGAAATGGATCACAAATTCGCTGCAGCACAGTATAATGCTTGCTGTATGACATACTGTGTAAATGCAGCTTCGAGGCTTTTGCAGGTCTTGAACTGGTTGGTGTGTTGCACTCCCCACGGGGGCACATAAGGAAGCCTGAAACGCCTATATCAGCAAATGAGAAGTGCTGAATGAGACAGAATCTGGGGCTTCGCTTTACTCTGAGTAGCACTCTGTTAATGGTTAACATGCTGGAGGTAAAAGAAAAACACCAACGAACAAAACACTCAATACAATAAAGGCATTCATAAGAGACCTACTTCTCCATGAGAGATGTTTGTTCCCAACCTCTTTGTTCACTTTCTTTAGTTTCCTAAATTGAAGCTGGCTGCAATCTCTGCATCTCTGGCTCCAAAAAGAGAAATAGCACACCAACTGAATTGAACAACTCTTGGAAAGATTAAAGGACTGTTTGAATCGTGCCATAAAACACTGTTTCTCAACATGATGTCAGGGGTTCCCTAGGGCTCCAGGACCCTTATCTAAGTGGTCCAAAGAAAAATGTGCTATAAATTATAGAATTGTGCTGCAATATTAAAAGGTGCATGTCTGAAGATTACAACAACACAAAAATACTGTGCTACATTATCTTTGGGGCAATACAAACTTATATGATCATGAGACATCTGTGTTATGCCTTTTTTAATAAACCGACCGTAAAAGTAAAAGGGAAATATGTGAAAGGCAGGGCTGGCCTGGGAAAGAAGTGGACTTTTAGACTGGTGCTACATAGGTTGTTGAGTATTAGTTGTCTGTGATGTTTGCAAACCCTGTTTTGCATATCAAACTCAATGCAAATGCTCCACTCAAGCTCAAAGAGTGCGAAGAAAAAGAGAGAAGTGGAAAAGCAGTGTACAGAAGGCAGATTGTGTTAAAGGCAAGATTAGGGACCCGAGGTGTTTCAGGAACTGGGAGATAAACTACCTTAAAACTTCTTTTTGAGAGTGAGGAATACCTTATCTGCAATTTTGTGCGTGTTGAACTTGTAGACAATGTGTAGACAAAATAATTCAGCTTTTGCGGTATGTCTACACAAAATTTATTTTTCCACTTCAAAACACATACTAATCAGGCACTGACGCTGAAGTGATAGCAAGGCTTGTTTGGGAGCTACATTTAGAACAGCAGGGCTTTTTTATGGCATACCTTTTGGACAGCAAACTTCATTGACTGAGTTTTAACTTTCAAAGCTACTCAGACTTTGACTTTTATTTTCTCTTCCCCATTTGCCACCAATTAGTTTTCACTTTTGATGCCTTGATTTTGCTGTTGGATTCTTTTTTTGTAGTGTGAAGTGCAAAGACAAGAGCTACTGCTTTTACAGTTAGCCTTTAGTTCCTTATATATTTTGTACTTTGACAGTGGCTTGCTTTTTCAGGCCAGGAAACTCCTCCTGCTTCCCTCCAAGTACTCTGGTTCATTGATTTAATTGGTGGAAGTTAGTCGATGATACAGTGATAGACAGATGGTTCATCTAATCACCTGTCATTGCTCTGTTTTTGCCAAGGAATTTCCAAATGGAGATTTCCTGGCGCTCCCATGTAACAACCCATCTGCATGTCATGCAGGCCATATGTCATTTTTTTCTCTATTATACTTGGATTTTCCATTAATCAGTCTACAGCATAGAAAGAAAACTGACTCCATTTGGGCTGAGTGTTTTATATTAATCTTGGTCTCGAGGCATTTCACTGAGACTTTTTCCCACATAATCCTACTTTATCTCCTATGAAGTTAACTTCTAATCTTCTTCTTTCAGCTACTTCCCTCAGGGTTCGTCGCAGCATCCCCTCATCTGTCTCCATCTCAGCCTATCCCTAGCATCCTCGCCCTGTCACAATAACAGCTCTGCATGTCTTCCTTCACTCCATCCATGAACCTCCTCCGTGATCTTTTTATCTTTCACATCTGTTGCCAGTATATCCCTTATCCCTCCTCTGCACATGGTCAAACAATCTGAGCCTTGCCTCTCAACCTTTGTCTCGCTAAAAATAACCTGACCATTCATTCACACTCATTTTCAACCTGAAAATCTGATCATCTTCAACTCTGATAACTCCAGCCTCCTTTTGTTTTCAGAGCCATGATTTCCAAAACATACATCATTGCAAGTCTAACTGTCATCTTTTAAACCTTCCTTTTCACTCTTACTGTCCCTCTGTCATAAATCACCCCCAACACTCATCTCCATCTCCTCCGCCATGCCTGCACTCTAATTTTTCACCTCTCGTGCACTGTCCATTGCTTTACATGATTGACCCCAGTTATATAAACTTATCCACCAGCACTACTTCTGCTCCTTCTGTCCAGCTGTCCATGTCTCATTCACACTTTCATTCCTCTTCTTTCCAGAACATACCGCCACCTCTCCAGGCTCTCTTCCATTCGCCCCCTAATCTCACTCATCACAATGTCTTCTGCAAATGTGATAGTCCAGTGACGTTGACACTGTGAAGTTTAAGGATTATAAATGGGATTGAAATCCTGGATTGTGTTTGTGAGACACCATCACAAGAAACATGGCTGTATTATTTGTTTTAGATTTAGGAGCCTTTAAATAACTATTGAATATCTTTCTGCCGAAGTATCTATCAAAAAAGGCAAACAGTGCATCACAAGTAGACACATTTGCATCTTTAATTAGATTTCTGGTGAAATGTTAGTTTTTGTTCATTTATTTGTTTGTTTGAAAGCAGAGGAAAGTGCTCTCAAACTCCTGAGTCAGAGTTCAGTGAATTCAGAATATTTTAAATTATAGTGATATTTTTCTTTTTTGCTTTGGTGTTTTTGAATTCACCCATCAAATAATATTCCATTAAACCCTAGAGCTGTTTAGGACAACTTCTCCAAGAATTTGGCAGCGTAATGCTTTTGCTGGAATTAAAAATGGCTCAGGAAAATGACAGGTTGCATAAGTGTGGAATTTTATATCTGTAGTGAAAACATGTACTGCGTGACTCAGGCTGAGAGAGCACTTGTCTGTGCCAGACAAACTGTAGGCCAGCATTTTGAAGTCAGAGAGGGCAAATGCAAATAAAAACCAATGTTAAGCCTGTAAAAAGCACTCCAGTGAGATTGGTTGAGTTTAACACACACAAAAAAATAGTTCTGCTCACAATGCTCAAATATTAACACAAATAAATGACAAATGGAAAAGTATTTATCACACACTGATGTAGAAAAGCTTTGCCTGGCGTGTGTTTATTTGTATGTGTCTGTGTTACGCAGGGCTAGGACCACTTGACCATTCTAAGCTGAAAGGTTTCACCGTGCTGACTGCAATTTTTCTACACCTACACTCAGCGACCAGTCTTGAAGTTCCACTGTTTCAATCACTTAGAATTCTCGCCGTTCTGGAGCTGAACGGTGATCTGTGACTTGACAGCACATCGTGTAGCACCTTCGAGATCGTGAACACATTCGCAACAATCGCTTCCTCTGATGCAGCACTCAGGAAGCACAAAACCTCAATATTCTGAGCCTTTTGCAAAATCTACCTGCTTTAAATGGCAAAAAATAAAAATAAAAATTGGGAATTGAGGGTTTTGTGCTTTGCAAGAGTTGCTGCTTTTTATTATGTAAAGCTGCTATGGGAAACGTAGATTTTAGGGTCTTGGGCACTTAACAGACTGAGATTAAATCAGCTGTTTTTAATACATTTTTAAAGTCTGTCAACCTTTGGAATGACCACGACTTCTGAACTGATTACTTCAAACATGTGTTTGATCTTCATTCATGCCCAAACACCCTGAATCCTACACTTCCCCTAACGCAGCTTTGCTCTCTATTCAAACTCCCACAGCCCTCAAACACAGCAGCACCAGTTTGTAATGCAAGCTTTCTCATATAAGCTTCTTTCTAAAAATGTTCCCCCTGAGCCACAGAAGACATTATAAAATATTTTCACAGGAGCACTCCTCCTCATTACGAGCGAACTGACCTTCAGATGTGGTACTGTATCTGTGGAATGGCTTTTTAACTTAGTCCTGATTTAATGGTTTCTTAAACTACTGTCCCAGCCCTAGCATTTGTGTGTGTGTGTGTGTGTACTGTATTTTTGTGTGAGTGCTTTGACCCTCCTTAATCTGTTTGAGACTGCTCAGGTCACTCGGGCCAGCCTTAGAAATTCACTGGCACCTGGAAGGAGAAGCAAATAGATGTTAACAATTTAAACTCCTGGCAAATTCGGGAAAGCTCCGGTCCTCGGACTGGATCACAGCCCAGCGAAGCGAGAGGCAGCGGAAGCCTGGTTGGCTGCCATTAAGAGAAGCCAAGTGTGTTTGGCAGATAGCGAGTGCAGCCAGCACTGTTGACAAGGGCCCGCTAAGTGGCCCGAACCTTCTGCAAATGAGCAGGAAGGATCAATAGGAAAACTCCTACACTACAGCGGTAGGAGCACTTGCATGGCTCTTACATCCCTCTTGACATCATGAAGGATACTAGACTGTCTTTGTGTTTGGATTTATGTGACAGAAAGATAATTGAGGGAATGATATTTTTTCCTTTACCGGATGAACAGTAAGAGAAAATACACACATCTGCATGTTTTTTTGTTTTGTTTTGTTTTTGTTTTACAAGGAAAACACCCACACACCCACACGATGTTCGAACATTGTACTTTCCCCCCAATGAGAATAGTTCCTCAAACCAAAGACGCATCTCTGGAGAGATAATACATTCATTCCAAGCAATGGCGATGAAGATTACAATATCTTGATAGACAAACAGGTTAATTACTTCATGGCTAAAACCTGAGTTATTCCAAAGTATTTCCATATGAAATTGCACAACAATGCACATCAAAAATAAATGATGCATCATTTCTCTTGTAATAGAGTAATTTGCATGACTGAAGCTATGCTAATATATTAATGTGATATATACACACATCAACGTATGGTTTATTTAGTATTTTACTCTGGGGTCTGAGATTATTTGGGAGGTCCAGTCAAAACACAGAACCACAGTATGACAGAATGAATTTCAGGAAGTTTTCTGACGCGCATCATCAGCTTCAAAAATGAAGTCCTTGGAACAGAGGAGTGTGACTCTAATGGTATTTCTTTTGTACACATTTGACATATGGATTTTGCTTTCAAACTCAAGAGGCAGACAGATTTGTTTGCCATGATGCAAACAAATCCAGCTCTCTCTCGCTTCCCCCCCTTTTATGTTGATTTGGCCTTTTTTTCCCTGTTAGTCAGTGACCTTTCTTTTTGAAAACGAGGAAGAGCAGAGGAACAGCATAATTTGATTCATCTTCAGCCCCTTGGTCTACTATTGCCTTCCCTCTTCTCCCAGCCTCTCAAGGGTGAAAGCGGGTATGACTGTTTGTGTCGAGTCGACGGGCCGAGCACTACAGCTGAGCAATGTTCAAATGCTGGATCAGTTTTAACAGGTTCCTCGTGGCACTGGAGGGCTCCGCTGCACCATTGATCCAGATGTCTTTGTCACAAAAAATCCTCATAGTCCAACAGCTTGGAGTGTTGCCTCGTCTTCCAAAGGCGGTAGAGGCGGAAGTCAAAGTACGTCTCGATCATCTCTTTGCCTGAGTAGATAGGATAGGATCATTAAAACAAACACATGAAGTTTAACATACTATAAGAAATATATCTGTTTTGGGGTTAGAAAATTGGGTTCCCGGTATCTTTATGGGGTCCATCTGGATAGAATAAGGTGTGGGTTTTACAGCTGTAGTGGTAAATGTTTAGACAACAAAAGTCCTCTGCAAAGATAGTCCAACAATGATTGTGTGGATGTGTATCAACAGTATTGTGCAAATACCCCTCCTCATTTTTTCATATTCTTGATGGAAAATAGGAAATAGGTGGATTGCGTGTTTCTCTAGCCAGGTATGCTTTGACAGTATCTGCAGTGTGTGCGGGGCCACGGTCATGCTGAGAAAGGAAGCTGCTGCCATTCATATGGAAGTGCGTGGTGGATCAAATGCTACCTTTTCCCATTCATATTTCTATCAATTATGACAAAATCCCCAACAGCACTGGCTGAAAAGTCGGTTGAAACCATGACGGTGCCTCCACCGTGTTTTTATAGATCGCTGTAGACGCTCACTGTTGTACCTCGTCTAACCTCCTCTTTACTGTTAATGACAATCTGAAACAAAAATTTCACATTTGGATTTATCACTCCACTGACTTTTCGATCCAGTGCTTGTGTAATTTTGCATACTTCAATCTTTTGTGTTGTTCCTCCTTCTGTAAGTATGGCAGTCCTACTTCCATTAAGCCACTTCTAATGAGGCTTTTGCAAATAGTAGGAATAACTGAAAAGCCAGAGATGTCTCTCAAGAATTATTGCTCAAGGCCACTTTAAAAATGACAAGAAAGTCTGGCTCCTTGGAAGTAAAATAGGAGGAAATGAGGGAAAGCTCACGACTTCTGCACAGCATTATACTACCAGTACTCTAGAAATGAACCTTAGCCAGAAAAGCAAATCCTGTTTTATAAATGAGAGGTGTGGGTTTTCAGAGCAGTGGGCTTTAAGGAGGCAGGAGAAGTGTAATGACAGATGCTTTCATTGATTTTGATTTGTTTAGATAAAGAGAATCTATATCTCTGCCTTTGTTTGTTGCTGATTTTCTTGCTATCAGTAAATGTGGTAAATAACAATCTGAAAAGAATTTGCTGCTCTTAGACATTAAAACTTGAAGTTTAAGAGTTTGCTAATAATCAAAATGCAATCAAGGACACAACTTTGATTTCTGCTGTATTACCATTTCTTTGTCTTTGCTTTAGGGTACTCTACTTGTATATGTCGATGCTGATGCCTTTTTAGAGCAAATGTAAAGGAAATCTGGAACTGGGTGTAAGTAAAATGCTCTAAATGTTCCTGGAGATGAGAACAGGCTTGTTTTTAATACTGATTGTGATACTGAATACTGTACCTCCCTACTCCCACGTGAGGCTAGAAAGGAGATGTGCAGGTCTCCAAGTGCTCAGTAACAGCACTGGACTGGGTGCTGTGCAAAGTTTGGAGTAGGAAATCTAAAAAATGAGTGTCAATAAACATCACTTTAACACCAAAACATCAAGAAGCCACCCTAACAGAAGAGGATGATTATAAATAAAAAGCAAGTGATTATTAAAGAAGAAATTAAACAAAGGAGATGACTGTGAAAATAAATCAGATTTCTAAAATGAGGGAACAGCTGTTTGAGTAAATTCCTTGTGCAGTTGTTAAAGCAGGACAGATGGCACGTGTCCGTATCATTTCATATTTACTGGACGTATCGCACACTTCTGTGTGTGCGCAAGTCCCTCTACAGCACACGTTTGAGTGCGTTGGGATGTTTGTGTGGACCTACCCTGTGCAGACAGCTCCAGCGGTGACTCGAACTCAACAGAATAAGGCCTCATCAGATTCTTCAGCTTCTGGAACAGCTGTTGGGTTGAGATAAGAGAGCAAACACCAATTAATCACATTTCACTTGACTACACTTGCAGAGGGGTCGTCTGCATCGGCTGACAAGCTCACAAACACAGAAAAACAACAGAAGGATTGCAATAAATTCAGCTTCATATGGCCAAAGACACAAATGCACACTCAGAAAGACAGAAACATCAATTCCCAGCTTTAAATTTAGATGAGATTTTTGAATTTTTGATCATGTAACTGATGGTTTACTGAACAAGAAAACAATCACTAGTCGCCACCTTAATTACCTTATAGCACCAATGTGCTGCTGTCTGTTTCAGAAAAAGAGAATCTCTAAGTTTCTTGCCTGAATTTGGTCATGAAGGATCTCCCGTGTTAGAAAAAGAAAGGGCAAGAAAAGCATTTCTTTTCCACTTTACTCCTGCCCAATCATGCAAATCCTGTGTTGTGGGTAATTGAAGCCATGCGGTGTATTTATGTGTTACAAATACTTCTGTTTTTTTCTAAGTGTTTGCCTTGTGCAGTCTGGAGTGAAGCATCTGGGGGCATATGTAGCTGTTTACAAAGGGACTGAAACGGGAGCAAAGATAATTCCATTAAAACTTTGGATAAACAGGCAGCATGGATGATGTGCTGTTCAGTGGCTACAAAACAGAAAACAGTAAATGAGATGTTAATTCTGATTCGCCAAACATATGAACAGTTTTGTGTGGAAAAACTTGACCACCTTCCCATCAACCATCATCACTGCACAATGTTTTTGTGTCAGCGAATCCATGCTGCTAGGTTCTGCATTACTGTGGAAGGCCTTTCCAGACGAGTGGAGGCTCTCATAGCATCATAGAGCATAATGAATAAAAGTGTTCAACTGATGTTGGCAGTGTTTAAACAGAGAAACACTGAGACAGGAAGCAAATGCAGATCTCAAGACTATACCAAACCCCTGGAAAAAAAGGACTTTAATTGTGTTGTTTTGGATTCACACACTCGTGAAAGCAATGTTCATATTTGTCTGTTTGTTTGTCAGGGTGTATATTTCACTGCTGTGCAGACTGTCCAACACTGGAGAGATCCACTAAGCACTTTGGCAGACATGACTGGAACAGACAGTTAGGTCAGACTAACACCGCTGGCTAGAGTTTATGTCTGTGTCTGCATCTGTGCATGCCAACATGTTTGTATTTGTGTGTGTGTGTGTGTGTGTGTGTGTGTGTAAATAATTATTTATGTGATTATTTATTAGGGAGGAGGAGATGTGTGTGTATATGGCTGGCTTTGTGTCTTAGTTGTTCACATCAGCTAGAGGGGTGCAGTATCATTCAGCATTTGTGTTATTCAGCTCTATCCATTAACATTACTCAGAATGAGATAATAGCTGCACAGGTGGAAGAGGAGACAAGGAGAAAACAAGAAAGCCAGCGGGGCTTCACACTGATCAGACAAAGAGGCATATAAACAGACACAAGGAGCAGATATGAAAGCAGTGGGCGGCAAACAGAAAATGAGTACCGAGAGAGGGAGAAGAGACAAAATTGGGGAGGAGTGACTGTAATGGTAAGAAACAAACCATCCCAAGTTATGAAATCAGTGCTATTTATATATAGAACTCATTTATATATAACTATGATCGGTTCTACTTTAAAACAATGTGCCTGGGATTTACTGATGAGCACTGCATCTTACGCATTTCTTTTCACCAAAATTCACACTAACAGAAGCGTTGTGCATTATCACATCATTCGTATATTGATACCATTAATAGCTTGATAGCTATATATAATAGAGCTGACTCATATATTGTCCGATATTTGCTGTTTGCCGATTTTTACTGATGTTGCAATCATGCGATGAGTGTCGTTGTTGCATAGTTTTTATCTTATACCAGAAGGCATTCTGCAACATCCTTGATGTCGACAAGTGGTGATTGGGCTGAACTAGTTCTTAGAACTTTCACTTTATCTTCACAGACTCCTTCAATACTCTTGGCATGTATTTAAATACACAAAAGGACTAGACCTCACATATTAGTGACTAAGTAATGTTGTGTTTTTTAAGGTGCTTTTTGTATAACTAACTGTTTGATCGCATTAGACATTAGTTACTAAGCTAACAGCCCATGTGCTTTAAGAAGCAAGAATTTCACTTTATTTCAGTAAAACTTTAAGCTGACTAGTAAGACTACTAACTACCTGCTAGTAGCAAGAGTATTCACTCAATAACTAACAATGTGAAATATTAATTTATTCAACATTTCTATCTACTATCTACTGTCTGTAAATCATAAAGAAGACCACCTGACCAAAGTTCAATAAAAGTTAATGTTGCTAGAGAGCTGATGGACTTCCTCCAATAGCGTCTCCAATCATCTGTTCTTCTAAAAATCAGCATTGTCAGTGGAGATTGCTATCGCTCAGTAGTAAAATTTTACATATTCAAATAAATGTAATTTACATTCACATAAATTTAAATGATACATTTGTAAGTGCTGTTGTGATGGATTCCAATACAAATTATTAAAACTGTGACTGAGTATCAGATTAATATTTGGGCGTTTCTACAGTATTCTAGCCTATATGAGTAAACCTGCTAATTAGAAGTAAGGAAAGCATGGATAATATTGATTTGTTTCTACAATTACTGCACTCGTTTTGCTGTGAGTTTGTGTAGTAGTGATCTAAATACCTTCTCGCCATTGGGGTTACCCAGGACATAGCATCCCATTATGTGGATCAGGTTTGGTTCTGGATTGACTTTACTCATGAAGCGACTGAGTCTCCTCCAGAATCTGAACAAATTCAAAGGGTACAGTTACATGGGATAATGTTTTAATAAAGAACACAGACAGGCTGAAAAATGCAAAGTAAAATGGGCCTGCAAGCATTTAAAATGAAGCGACTGATTCTCCTCCAGAATCTGAACAAATTCAAAGGGTACTGGCTTGTCTGAAATGCAACATTCAGACAAGCCAGATTCAAGACATGATTTGTATAACAAACAAATGTGATCAAGTCAAAATGTTCCCCTGTACAAGAAGAATAACAATAGATAGTGCACATAAATGCAGAAAATTGTAGAGATAGTGCTGCATGGTCCCAGAGGAACATCGCTGATTTGATCAAGTGGGAGAGCATTCAAAGAAAGAGTGTTAAAAGAGCAAAGAGCATTTACATGATACTTTTTCTATGAACCTTAAACACACAATGAAAGTTATTAACTTATTATTAGCTCTATGTGCTTTTTTCATTTGCATTGCTTAAGAGCAATGGCAATGGTTAGCTGTTTTTCATGTTTTCTGTATTTATGTAAGTGCAGTTAGGCCCATCATTTGTTGGAACAGTCATTATAGTTTTGCCACTGTATTCAGTGGAGTACGATTTTAAATCAAACAGTCAATGTAATTGAAGTACAAGCTTTACAGCTTTAATTTAAGGGTTTTTACAAATGTATTGCATTAACTATTTAGAAATTACATTTTTATACACAGTGCCTCCATTTTCAGAGGCTCAACATTAATTGGAAAATTAATTGACAACCAGTTTCATAGCCAGGACTTGTCACTGCCTTCATGAATGGAAATACAGAGGGTTTACAACAAGGTGTCAACTACTGGTTACGTTCAAGAGCCGGATAAGTTTTGGCCAGAAACCTCTGGAAAGAGCTCGCACAGTGGTTCTTTGGACAGATTAAAAACAAGATTAACTTCTAGCAGAATGATGGGAAGTGAAAAGTATGTAGAAGCAAGGAATAACTTATGATCCAGAGCATACCACATTATCTGTCAAACATGGAGGAGGCAATTATATGGCATATATGGCTGCCAGTGGAGCCGGGCCAACAGTGTTTATTGATGATGTGACTGCTGACAGAAGCAGCGGGATAAATTCTGAAGTATACAGGCCTATACTCTCTGATCAGATGGTGCTTCACATTGCAAATGGATAATGACCCAAAATATACTGCAAAGGCAACGCAAAAGTTTCCCAAAGCTATCAGATATTCTTCAATCGCCAAATCAGTCACCTGATCTCTACTCAATAGCAGGTTTTCAGTTATAAGATACAAACCTGAAGGCAAAGAGACCCACAAACATGCAACAAGTAACAGAACAATTCGAAGTGAGGAAACAGTATTTGGTGATGTCCTTTACACTGTCTGAGAGACAATCAATGACTTCCCGTCAAAGCACTGAAAACAATCCTTATATTAGAAATTATGTTGGTTTGTCCCGTTAATTTTGATCCTCTGAAAACGGAGAACAAATTCCTAAAAATTGAATACGTTTTTTGGATAAAAACTCCTGAATTAAACTTAATTGTTGTTGTGTACAGAGGCAAAACTAAAGAAACTGTTCCTTTGTTCAACAATTTATGGAGATAAAATGTATTTAACCATTAAATAAAGGTTAAAAGAAAAAAAAAGCATGCACTGGCTTATAAGATGTGGTAAATAAATAGGAATTGTTGCACTATTCTACATTACTGTGGCATAAACTAATATTCATTAACGAGAGATGGGCCCTAATGTCCAGAATTAGCTTACTGGCTCATGTCCTCCTCTTTTTCCACCTTAGCAAACGTTGCCACTTTATTCTTCAGTAAATATAGATGACCAGGGCCTCCCTGCAAAAAAAGTATACAGTATGTTATATATCCTCAAACCGAAGCAAAGCTAAACCAAATACATGCATATTATTCATCGTCCCTTTACTATCCATGAAATTCATTTTCAGAAATAATTTCATTCAAAAAGGGACATCGTTTGTGAAAAATACACTATTCACAATACATTAATGTGTGCTTTAGGGTAGGACAGTTAATAAGTAAAATATTCAATTTTAATAGGAATAAAATTCTTGTTCCTCACTTGACAAAAGATGAGCATCCTCCAGAACTTGCTTCCTCTCCTGTAAGCTGTGAGCTTCTTGTCTATTTCCTCTGTGAGCAAGAGGGGGAAAAGGGAGCGATTGATGTGAATGACAGGGACCGAGAGAGGGAGAGAAAAAAGAAAAGCGAAGTGACGTGTAAGAATGTAGGAAGAGAGGAAGAACACAAAGAAAATCCCAGGAGGGTGAGTTCAACTACAGGTGTAGTAATAGACAGCGGAGACACAAACAGAAGATGTAATTTAAATTGAACTCAACACTGTGTTCTTCAGGCGTCAGAAAGTGTCATCGTAAAATAAAACAGCTCGATGGATTTCAAATGAAAATCTGTATGTATCTGCAAAAACATCCATGGGCATCCTTGTACCTTCTATATGAGAGCTCTAATCAATGCAGCGCTCATTATTACATTAGGGAACTCTGGAGAATGTGACTGTAAATGCCTCAGTGTTCAGAGGGGAGAAATCAATTGCAGCACTAAACAGTTTCTAAATAAATAAGCCACATTGGCCAAATCTAAGTTAATTTCTAGAGATTTGAAAGCAAGTAAGGTTTATCCACAATATATTTGTGTGACCTTTAACTCCACAGGCGACACTATAAAGTAAAGATGCCTGTTTTCTATTTCACAGGAAGGAATTGACCTCATGTTTTATTCTGTTTATTTTGACAGGATGTTATGTAAGTCTTTTGTATCTATACAAATTTCATTATTCATCATGTCACTTGTTAAACATTTACTTTCAGGCTCAAAAATGTTTGGCAGTAGATGTATTTCATAGATATTCATACATAGTTTTATATTCCATTAGTGAAGTTTTGATTGTAGAAAAAAAGTGTGAATTAAAAAATAATAAAGAAGAAATAGTGAAGGTGAAAATGGCAGAGAAGAGCATGCACTCCACAGAAATACTCACCCAAAATATCGTCAAACGTTGCATGTTCATGGTCCTGAAGAAAATGAAAATTATACAAAACATTTTAGCAAAGGCAGTTTGTATGGTTGATATATGTGTATATTTTAGTGTGACTTTCTGTAGTTCTTGTCTACTGTATGTTTCGGTGCATTCCACTCACATAGAGGATGGGAATGATGGAGGGGTCGTCCCTACGGATTATGGTGGGAATGTACTCGGCCTTGGGAACCTTAGAAGAGATCAGCTGAACATGAAGCAGAAACAGCAGAGGAGCAGAAACTTGTTAGTTTCGATGTAAGATGGAAAAGGACAAGAATTATTACAAAGGGAAAAGGGGAAAAGGCAGAATTTCTTATCGTACGCTTATATTTTATTACAACTATGCCCTAGGTAATATTCTACAGATGTAATAAAGATGTAGATTTTGTATATGTCTTAATTACTAGAGAATAAAAACAAAACAAGAATGATTATAATAATTTTACTCACTCAATGGCTACTTTGTATACCTCTTCAATTGCTTGTTAATACAAGTTTCTAATCAGCCAATCACATGGCAGGCCAATCAGCCTATCCGATTATTGTTGCTGACCATAGCCATCACTTTATGACCAAGGTGTACTCATGTTGATGATGGCTACAGCTCAAATCATCAACCCAAATAAGCACATTTGGGATGTGGTGGCGATATGGGAGACTTGCATCAAAGATGTGCAGCCATTCAATCTACAGCAACATTGTGATGTGATCATGTCAACACTGACCAAACTATCAAAGAAAAGTTTTCAAAAGGCTTGTTGTTTCAGTACCAATAAGCATGTAGACAGTTACATGGTTAAAATAACTAATTCAGTTCCTTGTGAAAAAAACCAACAGGACAGAAAACAATAACCAAGGATGATGCACCTATATAACATTCCCTTATGGATCTCTTACCATGATTTTGGGAGGTACAAAGTCATCTCCCTCACATGCCAGCCTCTCCATCTCCCTTTCCTCCTCCCAGTCTATATTGTCGTCGAGACCTCCTTCATCCAGAGTGCCACAAGAGGTCTGCAGGTCTCCACCTGCAGAAAATGTAAGATAAAGAAGGTCTGAGATAATAGAGTGTAAGCAAAGATGTTGGAAGTTGGGTGGGAGGCAAGAAAGGTGACAGAGAAAGAGAAACTCGGGGAATGAAGGATGGATGTGTCCAGGAAGTGAAGCAAGGTGAGTGCGGGGGAGAGAGAAAGGATGGAGTTGTTAATGATGGCAATGGCATACAAAAATGACAGGTGGAATAGGAAAAAGCAGAGAGTAGCAAAAACAATGGGGAAAAAAAGAAAATGACTGATGGGAAGCATAGCAGCAAGATTTCAGGTGTCAACTAAAAAAAATGTGCTAGAAAAATTGAACTTAGTCTGGAGACCGGTTATTGTAAAGCAGGGATATGTTACAGGACACATATCGAGTACAATAATTATCCATATGTTTAATTAGTTCTAAAACCTTTGACTAAATATTCATGTACAAATGTTTGGTGGCCAGTGCTGTTACATGTCTCTTCTGATCATTGTCCAAAAATGAGCATATCAACCTTTCATTCTATTAAATTCAATATTGGATCTGTGTTACCACTGAAATGTGAAACACAGTATTGAATAATGCAATGCTGTAATGTTTGTTAGCCAAATAATTACCTGCCTGTTCACAAACAGAGGGATTTATTTATGCGATTTCAGATTATACTATAGTAACAAGGGGTTTTTGATTTGTTAAAACCTCTGAAGTTAATAACTGTAATGATGCTCACTCACATCTTTTCTCGGAAGGTTAAAATCTTCCATATTTATTAATACAGAAACACTTAGGCTCATTCACACTGATCCACCCATGTTGTGGCTGAAACCTTTGTAGATCCCAATATTTGACTTGGTTTATTACATCTGAGATTTTTGTACCAGTGGACATTTGTTGGACATCAAGTCAGGCTTGTGTGTGTCTTGATATTTTCTTATAACTTTGTCTATGTTGCTTGTTGTTTTGTTGACATGGTTTGATGTGAAATTTACGTTAACTGCACTAATGAGAGACACGAATATGCTCGCTCCTGAGCCGTGTTTCTTTGATGTGTGACCAGCTGGTATGGTATGAGACTATTGAAATGAAACAGCATGAAAACTGAGGAAATGATAAACAAGACTGACATCAAAGTCTCCAGGAAACCTCCTGTGATTTAACACCACTCTTCCCCACAACAAAAAAAAGAAAAAAATATGGGCTCAACCACACTTTTAAGCTGCAATAAACAACTCGTTAATCTTTCATTAGACTATGGAAGACAGAAAGACGATGAATGCAGTTTAGCATGATTCAAGCTTCCAAAAGCCTTCCAGAAACACTGAGACACATACGCCTACAACAGTCAGCTGACAGGGTTTGACTTAAGACACACACCATTTTGGAGGACGTACTCACAGAAAGAGAGAGCATCACAAAGTTGAAAAAGATCCACGGTCATACGCAGACAGATGAACAGGGTCAGAGTCGACAGCAGAGACAGTCAGTTTGTACGTGTGAACGTGCGATTCATCTACGAGTGTCCACAGATTCTGATTTTCCTGTGTTAGTTGGCCTTGAACTGCCAAAATCAGGAAGTGAGCTGTAAGACTGCAGCAACAAAATGTCATCTTATTTCAAGGGAGAGAGAGAGAGCGCGACAGCACTGTGACACGTACTGTCCATGAAATGTGACTTTAATTTTCAACTGACTACAAACAATGAAACAATGATAACCTTATGTGGATCTTATTAGGTCTCTTTTCAGTTCTGAATACTGGAAATCTTGAGATGATTGTGGTAAAAATGATCACCTTATTTTGGGGATTTTTATAAAGACTTTAATACTGTAATATCATTTAGTAGTGTCTTATTATTTATTTCTCTACATTTTATTGCAAATGCAAAGTCTCTGACTCACCACTGCATTCTTAATGATTTGGTGGGTTGGCCATCACTGACCACTCAAAGAAAGCAGCCCTGGTTTATTTTCTGTTAAAGCTGTTTTAGCTCTATATTGGTGTGTCAAACATAAGGCAAAGGGCCTAGAATTGGCCCAGCAAAAGCTCCAATTCGGCCCATTGCATGGACTTACAATTGTATTTTCTTTGGTTTTACAGCTTTTACAACATTCATACTAAAGAGATACTACTACTAAAGAAAGAGAAGTTTCACTGCTATTAAATAGCAGCTACTCTCCTTTAGATGCTTGCTTTTTGATGACATCTGGCAGATCTGGGAAAAACAGCGTTTCGTTCCTATGCACCTTGTACAGGGAATACTTTACAGAAAGACGTCCATTTAACATGCCACTACCTATTGATGCATTCAAAAACATAATAAGGAAAGCAGTGAAGAAGACTTGTGGGCGTTTCTTTTGAGAAGCCATTTACTGTTTTATGTTATGGGTATTTTGACATTATGGATAATGTTGTGGATTTATATTTTATGTTTTATTTGTAGAATTATTATTTAGATGTTTTGGGTTGAGAGATTGTGAGATTGTGATCTTAATGGGACTTCCTAATAAAATACAAGTAACACAAGGATACGTCTGATTTAGCTTCAGTCAACTCATACTCTTATGTCAAAGCGTTGAATAGCAGACCTTTAGTGTTCCATGAGAAATGCTAAGTGGCTTTCAACTTCTTGTGAGTCACCTGAGTGTGGAAATTCATTAATGACAGGGCACGACGCCAACTCAAGCTGTAATCAATCTGACAGTCAAAATGTGATTGCTCAAAGGGACGCATGGATGATTTCTGACTGCACACGTAGTGCACTGACCGAAATTTATTCTCACAATTTTCATTTTTGTTGTCCTGTCAGACTTAATTTGTGGTTAACATCTGTAATAGACACTCTTGCATATGGATGTCAGGTTGATATTTAATTTATGTTGTTGCCAGCTGATGGTGCTGGGAAGCAGCGTGACTTAATTTAAAATATGGACTCTTACAGAACCAGGTCAGCCTTTGTTTTGTTTTGTTTTGTAAATACTAGAAATAGAAACGGACAAAATTTATCAAACAAAACATTCGCTGCTTGCAAGTATGTGCTAATAATATTCGTCTACGAGGTTTAAAACCTTTTTAAAAGGGAATGTTTTTGTGCTCATCTCACTTTGCTTAAATGTAAAGTTTTATGTTAACGTCCCAACATTCACGACTGCAAATTTTGCTACATACAAATTAAAAGTCACCTATTAGGTTTGTCCTTATTTTTCTTATAACTACAAGGTGGATGTCCATATTAAATGTTACTTAAATGTAGTATATGCAGAAGTAATCTCTGTGACCCAAAGGTTCAGAATTGAAGCTACGCTGAAAGCTTGGTTTGCAAAGGTTTTTTCCCCCCTATTATCAAGTTGGGGTAAGTAATTTTAGCACAGATTTCCTTATATGTTAAAAAACTTGACTCTGGAAGCCCGATGAGAGAATGTTAAAACCTCCCTATTTAAGTGTTTGTAATCTGGTTAGCTTGAAATACAACGTTTCCTCTCTAACTATTTGCGTCTGCTCTCTGCAGCTGTCAGCAACTCTTTGTTGGTGTCTGTTTGTTTGTCGTTGTGTGCACATGTGTGAGACTGCGTAAACTCACTCTCTCTGGGTTCATGAGGAGAGTCATTCTTGACAGGGGTGGGATCACTCCAGGAACGGCTGAAACTCTTCGATCTACGTTCAGCGAATGCTAGTGCAGGCGGGGAGAGAGAAACCTGCAAACTGGCTGTTTCTGCTATACACTCACCATCTTCAACACATGAAAGCGCAAAGGTGGATGGAGGAAGTGCACAAATGTAGTGTAAATACGATGGCATCTCTCCTCTGCACAAACTGCCTACATGTACAAACGAACAAACACGTACTGTACAGTAGACAAACAGTCATCCTCTCCTCGCTCCAGTTTCTATATCATTGATATGGATTTAGACAGACTTGGTACTACCAGCTTCACTGAGCTACTCTGCGATAAAATCTGTTCTGCTTTGAACAGTAATCACTGTGCTCTTAGAATATTTTTAGACTACTTGAAAGTGTTTGATACAGTTAATCAACAGTGGTCCTCAGGGCATCATATTTTTTGGCTTGTGCGGATTTTTCCGGACAATGGATCCTGACTTTGTTCACGTTGCTTCTCGCATCAACGTCTTCAACTTTTCTTTTATAAGGAAATTCAGAGGCTCAACTTTTTTAATGTAATGATTTAAATGTGTCCTATTTTATATTCTTAGCACAACAAATACAGCTTTGTGTGTTTTTTAAGTCAGAACCAAACTGCAGGTTAACTTACTATGCTCAGGTTAGCTTGGCCCTAACAAAACACTCATGTGTCCATGAAGACAGAGAACTTGAGCCACCCTACATTTATTTATCTTTTGCTTCCATTGTTAATCTGTGTGAAGGAAGTGAGGGGTTGTTGGGGAAAATTGATGGAGCTATGAACACCGAAAAGTATGATGATCAGATTTTGAGCCAACATGGAGTACAATCCGGGAAGCATCTCACTGGCAACAGCTTCATTTTTCAGCATGATAGCGATCTAAAACACACTGCCAGTGCGGTAAAAGCATAACTAGTTAGAAAAACACACACAGTGGAATAGTATCAGCCCGGATGTCAACGTTATTGAATTAGTGTGGGATCAACTTGATAGAGAATGGAACAAAAGCAAACCAACATCCAAAGAAAAGCTTTGAATGTCCTTTGTGAAAGCTGGAGAACTATTGAAGACTACTTAAAGAAATTACAAGAAAGTTTTCCTAAGCAGCTCACTATGTGTTGAAGAATAAAGGTGGTCACACCAAATACTCTGTTTTTGCCTTATATATAAATGGAAACATATTTGCACATATTTCAATAAATCGTTGTGCCTTTTTCCTATTTTCTGAGCAAAATATAAAGAAATGAGGGATAGCTCAAGACTTTTGCACAATACTGTAGGAATGTGAGATCACTTTCCATTACAGACATCAGCATCAAGATTTGGGGATGTCATATATTTCTACAGTGAAAGAATCAGGAGACTGTGTCATGTTTAGGTTTTAAGTAATGGCTTCAACAGAGACTTTAAAGATTCTTTGATTTTCATTTAAGAAAGCTGGCTGTATTCATTTTGAACGTTCACATGGATTTATGAGTGCTGACAGAAATAAAAAGATCACAATTTTTAGCAGAGCATGCTGTACGTGTTTTCTTTGTACTTCCATATTTTCTAAAACCATAAAAGACAATAAAACTCTGGATGAGTCAATCCAATCTATCAAGTTTCTTGAAAGGTTGCAGTCACAGGACTCTATGATCTCATTTGTCTCACAGACCCGTCTCAGTGATGCCCCGGTCACTATTTTAAAAAGAAAAACACATTTTTCAATCACCGCAACTCATTGCCTCATTTTTTGCCTTTTTAAAAGTATGTAATTTATTTTTCTTTGTGCTTTACGACAAAAACAACCAAAAAAACAAACATTTAAAGTGCTGCTACTAAAAAGCACGTACTGTGCACAGAGACACACACACATAAATACACATGCACAGTCATATCGCTGACTTATCAAACACACACTGATCAATATATAATCTTCAAAGAGAGACAATATGCTGATTTAAAAATAAAAAAAAATCCCAGCAAAGCAGCAGCAGTGCTTGGTGCCACACACACAGGCGAGAACACGCCAAAATAAACAGGAAAACAAAACACTTGTGATGGCGGGGTGAAGAACATCACAGTCAATTTGAGCAAACATATCAACCACACACATCTGACTCACTCTGTGCTTTAAGCCTTCTGCTGCCCACCATCCGAAGATGCTTCCGGAAGTTCCTGTGGGTAGCAAAATCAAAGCGGAGGAGGGATAACAGAGGACAGAGGAAGGACCAAAATGTAAAGAAGAGAAAGGGGAAGCGGTGGGTGGGGAGAAAAAAAAGTCAGGCAACACACAAAAACACACACATTAGTGTCACAAATCTATTTATAGCAGAGGTTTTAAAAAAGAGCTAATTAGGTAAATATATATTCATTTACTTGTCAGCGTGAGTGGTCAAAACAGTGCTGTGGGAGTAATGTGGGCTACCACATGGTGACAATACCTCTTTTTATGCTTTTTTTTAGATTGTTGAAACACACAAGATTATAATGCAACAGCAGCCAGAAGGGCAACCCTGCTCAGCTCTCATTTGAACAAGACATTAAAGCTTCAGAAGTAGCTTTTCTTTTGTCAAATTAGCATAGACCTAGTGAACAATTCATGGAATAATACCACTATTAAGTCCATGACATATACTGACCATGTCTAAAGTCTTTAGGAAATATTCCTCCTCTGCAACCAGTGTGTGATTGGTGCAAAAATGGTTTTTACTCAGTCCGGTTTATCAATATTAGTGGTGGAGTTGTTAACAAGTTTAAAAAACAAACAAACACACAAATCAGACTAAAATTATAGCACATGAAAAGACAAGAAACTCAGATATTTCAGGTAATACTGAACTAAATGGGCAACACAGTTGCATAGTGCACACAGCAGGGAGATTGCTAACCCTAACACTGAAAAGGAAGAAGGATGATAGTTATGTATCTATTTTAAAAGGTTCACCATAAAATGCTTAAAAAGGTACATACTTTCATGAAACTATTGATAAAGGACATAAACGTGTGCTTTATATATTATAAAAACTGTGGTATGAGTCAGAGTGTGGCTTATCGCCAAAATTTCAAAGAATTTGCCAAATGAGTTATCAATCAAATGTCATATTAAATAACATTTTTAAACATATTTGATATTTAAACTGTCTTGTACACTGGAACATAATGTGTGACTGGTGTTGGTTTCGACCCATCTAAAACCAGATCACACACATAAACGTTCATACTAGCCTATGAGTAAGTAAATATTGGAGATGTTGCATTACCATGCACCGTTTGGAAGCAGTTACTCTTCTTAATAGCAGCAAAGTATTATGGTTTGTGTAGTCTTTGTGGGTGACTTGCTGCCTGATCTCGACATAATGTTCTATGCAAGAGTCCCAGATAAACATCCTTTCATCTTTCTGAGCTCCTCCCATGTCCCCTCTACACTCAGTGTCGATTCACTAAGCTACCAGTCAACACTCATTATTAATGGTCTCAGCGTGTGGTCATGTGGGGAAATATATGCGTGATTGTCTGCTGGTAAAGCCTATAAATATAGAAGCAGCAGAAAGGGGAAAGAAGTCTTTAGAGTCTTCTTTCCCTTGATTTACTTCTTTAATAATGTCAGGAGAATAACTTATTCATGGTTTGATTTTGCATGTTTTACAGCTAACTTCATCATCTAGATCTAGCGAAACATGGTCTAAAATAGAAAGTAAATATAGTGCATATACTTATCACAGAAAAACTATTTTGTTTCCTTTAGTCCTAGATTATTAAAATGATACGTGGTTCATTATTGCAGTAGTAAACTGTAACATTTGCAGACTAAATTGCTGATTAAACGAGCAGAAACATATAATCACACCACCTAGTTAAATAAGTGGAAAATGAATAGATGCCATCACACCTGCAGTGTCTTAATTTTGAGCAGACAACAGGGATGAAAATCACAGATATAAAGTGAACACTTTTTTTAGTACTGATTATGGAAAGGACTTCCTGGCTTTGTTTTTCCCTGTATTTTGGAAGTAACACTAGATTCTTATGGCATTTTAACGTCTATATATTTTTGATATTTTTGCTAGAACACATAATAATGATGCAGTTTTAGTTCAGTCAATAGTGAAAGTGAATGTGGAGAATTTCACGCAGAAAAAATCTGATTAACTGTCTCTTATAAAAAGAACAGCAG